GTGACAGACTCGCTCTGAAATACATCTTTCATGGGGGCTTAAGGCCCAAATATACAGAAATATAGTTTCTCACATGATATCAGAGCCAAATTCTCTTCGCTATGTCCATTCCTCATCCCTGAAGCTTTGTTGCCATTTTTCATGATGAGTCTGTTGCTCACCTAATCAGTGCAACTTCTGTTGTTTTGACTCTTTGATCTGAGCCTTTCTGTCGAGTCATGTTTCGACTCTCTGTAAGGCAATAACTGAGCTTATTTTTGACTCTCTACATATCGGCCTTTACTGTTGAGCTGTGCTTTCGACTCACCATCTAACCGCACTTCCAAGCACCCATCAATCCACTGTTTTATTTCTTTGCCAATTCAACAACCGAACCCACAATGCAACTGTTTATTGACTTGAGCCCTATGTTTTCTCACTCTCTCTCTCTCTCCTGTTTTAATTTGCTAATCTGATATGTAGAACAGCTAGCTGCCCCATGCTTATTTCGGTTCTTGTAGTCATATCCATTATAAATCAAGGATATGCAAGTAAATATAGAAGGGAAAGCTCACTTACAAGTGACCATCAGCAACACTTGCTAGGGCCCTCAATCGGACATCTTGATTAGATGCTTGGGGTTCAGTAGCGTTGGACCTCCGCTCAACCTTTGATCTTTCGAAATCTGAGCGACTTGATATGCATTGTTGAAACAGCAAGTCGATTGTTCGTGGGTCTCTTGTCAAATTCACCTATGCATGGGCTTCCCTTCTGATTTCCCTATGGTGGGGGCGCGAGCCTGGTGCTCTTAGGATATTTGCAATGGAAATCCCTTTTCTACTGTTCTTAACTTCAAATTTAAGGTCTAATTGTGCTTGTTGATCATCCGCTGATTTCTGTTAGCCCTTCCAAGTGCCTCCTGTTTGATGATCGAATTTCTCGATCCTGGTTGATAATCAAGTTTTATGTTACTCGATCACGTTTAATGATTGAGTTTCTCGTTACTCACTCTTTTTGGATGATGGAGTTTTATGTTACTCTATCTTGCTTGATGATTTAGTTTTCTTTTTTTCGTTACTCGATTCTGTCTGTTTCGTAGACCTGTTGATTTCTTGTTATGCGCGATTACTCTGTTCAAAGCATCAGTTTCTGAGGATCGCTAATTTGCATCGGCTCAAGTTTCTTATGTCCCTGCTTTGTTTTTAAGGCCTACCTTCAGTTGTCTAAACTCAAGCTGCTCTCTGAACTCATCTTGAGTTTGAGGGGGAATGTGGAAATTATAGCAACCTGCACTTATTGTCTTAAGGCTCAAATATACAGAATCCTCACACTATCATCATTACATTTTCTTTAAAAAATCCATTTGCAACATCTGGGTTCAGAGCTCGGTGGAAGATCTACCAATTTCCAAGTTTTATTCGTAATTATTGAATACATTTCACTATCTACAGCTTCTCCCAAAAAAGTTACATCTGGTGATGCCAATGCTTCACTTAATGATGTAGGATCTTCCTCCACATTTGAGACTATTTGTATTGAATGCAATGTCATATTTTAATTAGCCTCAACTAGATAAATATAAAAATCTGGTCCAAAGTTATGAGATGGTTCACATCTAATTCTTTTATTTTTTTCTTGATTCTATTTTCTCATCATTATTGTTTTCTATATATTCTTCATTAACATTTTGATCAATCTAATGATTATCTCCACTTGGTATACTATTTGTTTTATTTAATTTACTTTTACAAGTGAGATTTTCAAAAAAGTCAACTCTCTAAAGTTCACTATTGTTGATAGAAATTAGATTCAAACATCTATTTGCTTTACTATATAGTGAATACCCTACAAACTCACATAGTGGTTCTAGGACCTATATTATGCAACCCCATACTTTAATAAAGTTCATAGAAGGTTTTTCTGTTAAACCAAAGTTCATAAAGGGGCTTTATCACTCTTTTAAAATGGAATTCTATTTCAAATAAAGCATGCTGACAATAGAGCTTCTCCTCATAAACTTAATAGAAAAGAAGATGAAATTAGCATATCATTTATCATTTCTACCAAAGTTCTATTTTTCCCTTTTGCTAATCAATTTTGTCGAGAGGTATAAAGAGCAGTCACTTGATAAATTATATAATTATTTTCACAAAATTTACTGAAATCGTTTGATAAATACTTATCACCCCTATTACTTCTTAAAATTTTAAATTTCTTACTAAGTTGACTTTTCACTTCTACTTTAAAACTTTAAATTTTTCAAAAGACTCATCTTTATATCTAAGCAAATAAAAATAAAGCATATCTTGAAAAATATCAATAAATGCAATAAAATAATTTTTTCGACCTCTAGTTAAAATATTTTTTAAATCACACATACACATATATGGGAGTGTCTACAAAGAAACCATTTATTTTTTGTATATGGAGATCACAATCATCATATTCAAACTCTCAGATTGCTTCATCCTCCATAGAATTAGATACATGAACATCCTTCAATACATTCAGCAATTCACATATTTGTTTAGCAGCAATGTTTGGAATTGTAAAGGCAATCGACATTAATGTTGTGCTTCCGCTCCATTCGCACTCGCATTCATGCCAATGTTAGACTGGAATTTTTCTGCTGACTAATTTAAGCTTCTGGTCAATGCAATTGGATCCTTTCTGCTCCTTAAGTTCCCTTCACTAAATATATTCATTTAGGGCAATCTTGAACTTAAGCTCAAACAACCCTCTTTTAGCTTTTCTTCTCAACCTTTTGTCTGTTGGGTCTGTTGGGATTGTCTACAAAAAGACCATTTTATCGATTTGTATATGGAAGTCAAAATTATTCCCACTCATTAAATGTGAAATTGGATAGCTTGGGATGAATTACAACTCACGCAGTCCGACAATTTTTTTTGGAACTTTGTGTCTATTTAATGACACTCTTACAACCAACCACCCATTTTGAAATTTAAGAGACGAGAATGATTATGAGCTCCATATACAAAAAAAATAAATGGTCCTTTGTAAGCAATCCCTTCTCTTTTAACCTCCCTTTTGATTTATCTCGATACCTCACACCAATGCTCTTCTTTTTGCTCTTTAGTTTTTTATGCAAATTTGTTAAAAGAAAGCTTTCTTTACTTCCCTTGCTATATAGAAGTTATATACGTCCCCCCAATCCAGCTGTCCAATTTGGATTAAGTGAGCCATTGAATGTTTGATCTAAATCCGACGCCTCAAAGTACTTTTATTTTTAATTTTTTCTACAAATCAAATGACTATGAAATTTGGTACATGCTAGAATCACTATGCAGTGCACTTAAAAAAATATAAACACTTAAAAAAATATAAAAAACATTCCCAATAAAATAAAAATGACCAAAATACCCCGAAAACTTTTAAGGGTATTTTGGTCATTTTATTTTATCAAAACTATTTTTTTTATATTTCTTTGAAGGTGAGAGTTTAAGAAAAGAGTGGTTAGTGTCAACATATTTGTTTAAAAAAATAAAAAATAAAATAGTGTACATGACATTGTAATTGGATCCATCTTAATCGTTCATTCAGATCGGAATGCTGAATAAAAAGAGTATATATCTTCTATACAGTAGGGGAAATATAAAAAGCTTACACCTTACCTCTGCTCTCATATTCTTGGCATTCTATTTCTTTTGCAGGCTTCTCATGAGCTTCCTCAGAATCACGACTGAAGATCGCTAAGGACTCAACTCGCACACCTCCATGAAACACATCAATGGAAACCTGAAATCACACAACATTTATGCCAAGGCCTAGAGCCATGCATAGGCAGGCCAGTAGACAACAACCAAGGCAAAGCAGGCAGCTGAGCTGATCCAGCCTCTCAAAAGGCGGCCTTCAATCTTCCATTCCAAAAAACCATGTTAGAAGATTTCAAAACTACTTTCAGTTGTATGATGTAAACACATGCTGGCACTCACTAAACTAAACAAATATAGTGTACAACACCCCATAGTCAGGCCAGTAGACAACAACTAAGGCAAAGCAGGCAGCTGAGCTGATCCAGCCTCTCAAAAGACGGCCCTCAATCTTCCACTCCAACAAACTATATCAGAAGATTTCAAAACTACTTTCAGTTGTATGATGTAAACACATGCTGGCACTCACTAAAATAAACAAATATAGTGTACAACACCCCATACAGCAAAGTAACCCCTCCTACTCTTAAGAGTTTTTTTCTCTTTTTCTTTTGATATGTAACAGTTTTATAGCAGTGTTTAGAGGTACTCTCAGACTTCCACGGAGTGAAGAAGCGGTGTTGTATTCCCATGTTCGCTTTTAGAGAACTGGATTGGTAGAAGAGCTGGATCACGATATGCATTTACCAACTTATTGTAAAATTGATCCATTTCCATGTTCTTTTCATCTTCACGATCCCTTGTTATCAAACTCTGTCCAAACAAATCCACATGACGTAAGAAATCCTCATTATGCCAATGTGATTCGTAGTTAAGGTTAAACAGTGGCAACAATATCATCGTGCAATAAAACGCTACTGCCCATCGATATTCACATTCACTTTGGAGGGTTTTTTGTTTTGGCTGTTTTGACCGATATATGGGGAAAAGGAAGTGTTTCAGCTGTTTTGACCGATTTACGGGAAGTCTTTGGGTCTATTTGTAAAAATAAAAGATTTAATTGGGCATTTTTTTAACTATATATATACACACACACGCACCATAGTATATTTGCTAACCTCTGAATATTATGGATGTATTTTTCCAAAATGTTTAATAATTTAGAGCCTTAACAACAAATTATGAATCTTTTCAGGGTATATTTGAAAAAACAAATGGTTTTCTTACCATACCGGTGGTATGATTTTCTTTTATTTGTTTGAAGGGCTACAGCCAAAACTTTGGCTGAATCAGCTTAAGCCAAGTGAATCTGATGGCAATGCTACCTATGTTTGACTGAGAATATGTTTGCACAAGTCTCGCTACCTAATGATGTTTTGCATACTGGTGGGTGTTCGGCCATGATTAGGGTCATAGGGTTCATAAGTACATCTATGATCTAATTACATGAGTCCTTTTAACTAAATTGGAAATGCCCAGTAATGTGTCGGAACAGCTGGTGATTCCCCCCCCCCCCGCAAAAAAAGGAAAAAAAAAAAAATGAGTTGTTTGGTTTTGAATAAAGGATGCAATGATTCACCCAGTGTTCAAAAGTTTTAAGTTACATGAAGGACTTCGGATTATAGTTAAACATTCTACAACTGTGAAGGAATTCATGGGCAAAGACTGGAACAACAGGTAGCCTTTTCATAATGTCTATCAGAAAATTTTACAAACTAGCCAATGATTTAATCTCTTCTTCATATAATAATGATGAAGGAGGATCATCAGAAGTTTTCAACACCACAAATGGTTTCTTGAATTAAAAAAGATTTCAGTTCCAAAGTAACTGTGTCCTAATATTAGATAGAAAATGAGTAGGCATATGGAAAGATAAATTAAAATAAGCATGAATATCAAGGACACACCTCAACAGAATATGCACGGAAAATTGGCAAGAAGCGTTTCCTGCAATATTCATTGAACAGAAGTGTGAGCACAGGAAGAGGCACTGTCAAACTTGATGCAAGTGGAATCTTCTTCAGCCCAAATATACCCACTGCAATTACTTGCATTACGAACAAAGAAAATATTGTGCAGTTATGCACAATAGGCCAAAACTTTCCTCCAGTCTCGAACTTGGGTGAATAAACATTCAACAACTGCAATGTCAATTTAAAAAGATCACTAGGTTAGTAATCTTGCCACACACAAAAAAAAAATATCCGTCAGTAGGCACGATATATAAAATATTAAATTATAAACCTGATATATATAGTTATGTTGAAAATTAATTGGGAAGCTAAAACTAAAGCATCCTTAAGATGGATCCCTCAGGAAAAAGGGAACACCAGGGAAGCAACACCTCATTTTTTTTTCTTTTCCAAGTGATATTGTTTGTGTTGTAAGTGCTACTCTCATCATATATTTGAAGTTAATTTTACAAGCATCTGCAGGAAGAAGGTGTGGACTGCATTAAACACCCCAAGAAAATTAGATCCTTAGGTTTGACACAAAAATGATGCCAACACTTAGCATTGATAATTGATTAGCCATAGAAACCACAGATTACAAGACAGGGAACTGTCATAACTCATAAATGAAGATGAATCGAAAAAGCAACAACCTTTTCATTTACATGACGAGTAATTCCTTCATTAAAGTATTTATAATGCAACTTTCCCGGGACCAATCCTTTTGGAGTCTTCCATGATACCATGGCATAATATAAGCCTGAGTCAGCTGTCGAGCATCTTTGGATCCATGGAAGGAAGGCCTTTATGATGCCATGGCATAAAAAACACCTGAGTTTATGATGTCAACCATCTTCAGATTCATGGAAATGAGCTCCTCATCAAAACATACTTAGTGGTAGTGTTAGAAAACTCAGGTGAGTCCACTCGTGCTCGGCAACCTGCCCAACCCCGAACCATACACATGGAACAGGCCAAATCTGGCCAGTTCCCATTATTTTATTATTTTTCTGGTCGGACTCGGCCTGCTTACTGGATTTGCATCTCCACCAAACCAAGAAAAGGCAACATGTTCATAGAAGCACAAGAATGAGAGAGAGATCACATGGGACTCTATATTTGCTATTCCACCGCACCATCTTTCAGTATTCATTCTATGCCACACCCAAGATATAAAATTTGAAGTCCTTAAAAATAGTGTGTTCATTATCTATATATACATGCATATACACTGATAAAAAGCTTTTCAACTGATATTTCTAGTTTGTGAGAATCCAGTATTATAGTGAATATATCTAGATGTTATTTGACACAGTCAGGTATCGCGATTATGTGTTCAATACGTTTGTGAATTCAGATATCGCAATTATGTGTCCAATAGGTTTGTGAATTTAGATATCACAATTATGTGTTCAATAGGTTCGTGAAGGGTCAGATAATCCCAACCCTTCACTTTTTTTTTTCCCAAAAGGATATAACAAAATACTTATAGATATTTTAGATTTATGAAATTCAATATGTATAGCTATGGATATGTTAAAATTATAAAATTCAATATTGAGAATAGGAGGTTTCAAATTCGGCATCGAAAGATTGGATTTAAGACTCTTTCCATTTTAGAAGATATGCCTATTAGCCAAATTTTAGATGGTATAAATGTATGGGTATTGAGAGAGAGAGAGGTCTGCTTCATATCCCATTATTCTTTACATTTTGGCTTAGAAGAGAGAGAAGTTGCCAAACATGCCAGTTGTCTGTGTTGGGTCCACTCCGTATGTGCTTGACACGACTCATCATGCGACAAGCAAACTGGGACCCAAGGGTGTGTCTAGTTAACGCAATCAAAAGCAAGGTCTCAAAAAATGGCCCACCTAGTGCCTAGGTGACAGCCTAAGTGCTAAGAGGCCACAAGCCGCCTCACCTAGGCACGGGCGGGCCTTTCAAAGCAGAAGTTCCTGGGTGCCAGCCCATGCGGATAAGGCGGGCACCCAGGAACTGCCACAAAAATGGCGGAAAATAAACTCTTGTGGGGGGGGGGGACATTTTGGGTCATTTTGACCCATGAAAAGGGGAAAGGGGATATTCTACCCCCCAAAATTTTAAATACTCTTCTTATGCCCTAGAAACACCAAAATCGATCGATTTTGTAATTTGTTTCAAACGAGAAAATTTTAAGCAGTGTTTCAAAAAGCGCTAGGCGGCACCTAGGTGGTCGGGGGGATCCAAGCTGCCCAATGCCTAGGTGGGTGCCCAAAACCTGGGCAGGCCAGTAAAAGAAAATTTTTTTTTGGGTTTTTCTCTCTCTAAAATAACCTCTAATGGGCTTTAGGTTCATTTGAAACCTAAAACCCACAATTTTGCACCTTTAGTATTAAAAAAAATGACCCAAAAATGGCCTCAACGAGCGGTATTTCCGTCCCTGGGGGGGACGCAAGCTTTGGGCGGCCACCTAAGCGCGTTCCCGCGGGCCTAGGCGAGCGCCCGAGGATACACGCCTAGGCTTGGGCGATGCACCCAGGCCTTCTGGACGGCTTAGGTGGCCGCCCAAGCGCTGGGCGGTCCGCTTTTTGAAACACTGATTTTAATAAGTTCGTAGAATCATCCAAAACCTTACTACTATATCTTATTGGAATCATTTTTGGGTCCAAGTGAGGTTATTAGAAGACTTTTGGGGAAATTTTGAAATCTGAATCATATATATGAAGAATAGAACATCTACTATTTCTTTTCTTTTGTATTGCATCTTTTGTATTGCATCATTCTATATTGGTCATTCGATCTTATTGGAGACTTGGTGTCTAGGAGTATGATTCTATGAAGTATGGACTATGGAGTATGGTGTATCGACACTAAATCACTAATACACGATGGACTTGTTTTCATTTCACTATTTCAGTTATTCAACGAATCAAATTTTCAGGGATTTAAACGTAATGCAACATTCATGCACATGTATTATATAAAAAAGTTAGTACTGTCACTTTTTGCTCATTTTTATTGTTATCTAAGTTTCAAAATGTAATTATTTGTTTTATAATAAATATGTGAATAACAAACTGTTGTAAGTAATTATTGCTTGTAAAATTCTATAATAGTTAAGGCAAAACAAGATTATTCCTAATAAAGGGATTATTGATATATCTACTACTATCCACTGAGCATAACTATTTTCTCCAATCTTAATATTAAACAGAATCTTAAATTGCATGATTATAACACATACTCAAACATATACTTTATTACAAACATATGTTTTGTACAGATGCTTACAGATGCTAATACGAAAAGAGATTAAGAAAGAAAGAGATAAAGCAGAGAAGAGAAGAGAGTATGTTTCAGAGAGAAGAGAAAAGAGTATGTTTCAGAGATAGATCAGACTACGCATAGGTAAAACAAAGAAGGAAAAGGGAAACTTACTGTGTACACAAACAGTAACTGGAAAATAGCTTCCAGTGATGAGGGCAGTATGAGGGTAAATCGTTGATATTACAATCACACATAATTAACAAAGTAAGGTAAGAAAGAACCTGATTATGTCGAGCTATGAGGGCGAGCATAGCTCGAAATTCTTTTTGCTTCTGAAGGTTTTTGGAAGGTAAAGTTTCAGAGAGAAAGGTGTAGGTAGGTAGGTTTGAAGGTAACAGATAGGTAGCAAAGGTAGGTTGCAAGTTGTAGGTACGGTACAGGTAGGTTTGCAGGTTGCAGGTAGGTTGCAGGTAAGTTGCAGGTTGCAGGTAGGTTGCAGGTAAGTTGCAGGTTGCAGGTAGGTTACAGGTAGTTGCAGGTTGCAGGAGGTTGCAGGTTTCAGGAGGTTGCAGGTTTCAGGAGGTTTCAGGTTGGTTGTAGGTTTCAGGAGGTTTCAGGTTGGTTGCAGGGTTTCAGGAGGTTGCAGGTTTCAGGAGGTTTCAGGTAAGGTGAAGGGTAAGAAGGGAATGAGAGACTCTTGAGGCATCTGAGAGAAGAGAGGAGGAGGAGAAGTGAGGACCCTTGAGGGTTCTGAGGAGTAGAAGAAGAGAAGAGGAGAAGTGGAGACCCTGCCGAATGAAGAGGGTCTGCTTCCCTTTTATAGAGAGGAATTCCTTCCTCATGAAGAAAGGAATAAAGGGGAGAGTAGAGAACGACAAACTGGGAAAGTTTTGTCGATGGAAGAGGACAAGAGTAAGTGGAGAGATTGTCGGTATTAGACGACAAGAGAGAGTGAGATAGTGGAGGCATAAAGAGATTCGCCTCAGACAAGAAGAAAAAAATTAAAAAAAAAGAAAAGAAAAGAGCATCTCTGTACAGTGGCACTTTTGGCCGTATTACATTATTGCTACAGTGGAGCACAGTGTTCTTTGTCGGTGATATAACCATTTTTGTCGTATATGTCGGTGATGGAATCTTGGAATAGTCTTTCGTCGTTTATTGCTGATTGCTGTTTGTCTCTTTGTGCTGTCATGGATGACTTTATGGTCTTTGGCTGAATTCTTCTGGATCGTCTTCTTCCGGATCTGTCTCTTCGGGATCTGTTTCTTCTGGCTTAATTGGAGATACCTATTGGAATGGAGTGGAGAGGACAGTACGGTTTCTTCGGAAGATGTTGGTTTTCTTCCGGCTTCAGCAAAAATTTCTTTCATTTGTCTTTCCAGTTCCTCTTTGGATGCATGGGAGTTGGTTTGTAGCATGTTTCGGAGATAGGTTGGAAAGTCAAAAGAGGTGTTTGCAGTATTTGGGTTTTCCTGGTATTTAGGTGCTTTTGGAGGTATTCTCTTTGGAGTGGTTTTGGTGAGATCCATTTGGAAGATATCCCACCATTTAACAGATATGGTTTTTCCCAAACGAGGGATGTAGGTATAATCATTTGTGGTATTGGGTGATATAGTATAATCCCATTTCATAATCCAAGGGATTTGGTACAATGCCATAAAATAGAGGTGAGTGTCAACTGAAGTATCACTATTATTGTATTGTATAAATTGTTCCTGCAACTCCTTGAAAGGAGTAGGTAAAATCAAAGCAGTTGAGCCCCACACAAAATACCAGTTTTGAAACCATGTGGGGAACCTTTCAAAAATAGGCAGCCGGAACTGTAAATACCAGCTGTGTGTATTGTTGGGATTTTGGTAGTAAAAGAATTTGTGCCAGGCTTCTATATACTCGGCATATTTAAAATATTTATAAGAAAACTCTGGGTTTTGTAATTTCTTTCC